CCCCCCGAAAGTTTCCCCTGAGACTCCTTGACTCAGTTGCCAAAGACAGTTCCTAAAAAGATCCCGTCCTCAATCCGACAACACTAAAATGCTCCAAAAACATCGGGTGGCGCCTGGTGGCCAATGAGGAACCCGACATGAACGAGCTCGAGCTCGCACTTCGGTATTTTCGGATTGCTGGCGTGACAATCAGCCCGTACAAGCCCCTGGAGGCTCCAGACAGGCCTCCAAGACATGCCGATCATGCACTTTCTGAGCGACGTAAGGCCGCCCCAGCACACATCTACGATGACCACACGGCCACAAGACATGTTCACACAAGTGTCAATCCATTCCACCAAGCTTGACACTGCAACAGAAGATATCGCAGCCCTGCTGGATGGCCTCCTCGGATCCCTAGCAACCTCCCAGACGGACCAACCAGACAAGCCGCCAAGACAAGTTACACCCACTCCAAAAGCAAACCGCACACGTTACATAAGCCTTGCTTTGTGCGTGTGTGTATGTGCGCGCGTACATTTACAGTCCTTTCGCCTCGCCCGTCCGCCTGACTCCGCCGCGTCCCTGCGCGCGTGGCCGCGACGCCACAAAGTGGTTGTGTGTGGTTGGTTGTGTGTATGTGCGTGTCTGTCTGTCTGTCTGTCTGTCTGTCTGTCTGTCTGTCTGTCTGTCTGTCTGTCTGTCTGTCTGTCTGTGGTTGTGCGTGTGCTTAGGCGATGCTGCAGTGCGGCTCCCGTCGGGTTGAGCTGCCTGTGGCCTCCCTGCCGCCCAGCGATGCTGCGATGTGGCTACGTGAGGTCCGCGGCCGCGACAAACTCCCAGACTCGACGCCGCGCGCGCATGCTGAACAGAAGGGCTCCTGTGGGGCCCTAGAGTGCCCCTTTTCTGCAGCCCACGTTGCCCTCCCCCCAGCCCCCCCCCTATTCACTCTCCCCACTTGCCATCGCTCGGACGTCCATTCCCCGTGTACGTTTCGGTTTCGTGCGTTTCTTCCCAAGTGTACTATGGTGTTGGGTCCTTGTTTTGAAGAGACAGCGCCCCGCGTCTCCTCCTTCCTTCCCCCTTCTTCTTCACCCTATCATCATCATCATCATCATCATCATCATCATCATCATCATCATCATCATCATCATCATCATCATCATCATCATCATCATCATCATCATCATCATCATCGTCGTCATCATCATCATCCCCATCCTTATCCTCATCATCATCAGTATCATGATCATAATCATCATCATCATCATCATCATCATCACCATCACCATCACCATCACCATCACCATCACCATCATCATCATCATCATCATCATCATCATCATCATCATCATCATCATCATCGTGATCATGATCATCGTAATCATCAACATCATCAACATCAACATCATCATTGTCATCATCAGCAGCATTGGTATCGGCATCAGCAACATCATCAGCATCGTCATCATCATCATCGTCATCAGCATCGTCATCATCATCGACATCACCACCACCACCATTATCACCACCACCACCATCGTCGTCAGCATCATCACCACCATCATCTGCAGCATCAGCATCATCGTCATCATCACCATTGTCATCCTCGTCATCATCATCGGCAGCATCATCATTATCATCATCATTATCGTCATCATCAGCCTCATCATCATCACCATCACCATCACAACCATTACCATCATCCTCACCAACATTCGCATCATCACCGCCGTCGTCATCATCGTAACCATAGTCAGCTTTAGCATCATCATCATAATCATCATCATCGTCATCATCATCAGCATGATCACCATCACCATGACCATAATCATCCTCATCATCATCCTCATCCTCATGATGATAATCATCATCATCATCATCATCACCATCACCAGCATCATCAACACCTTCATCATAATCATCATCAGCATCAGCATCAGCATCCTCATCTGCCTCATCTGCCTCATCATCCTCATCATCCTCATCATCATCATCATACTCATCATCATCATCATCATCATCATCATCATTATCATCATCATCATCATCATCATCATCATCATCATCATCATCATCATTAGCATCATCATCATCATCATCATCATCATCATGATCATGATCATCATCATCATCATCATCATCATCATCATCATCATCATCATCATCATCATCATCATCATCATCATCATCACCATGCTTGTCATCATCAGCGCCGTCGTCATCACTATCATCGCCATCAGCTTCGGCACACTCCTCAGAAGCTTCGTGACCCCATAAGGAGCTCCACCGAAAACCCCAGTTGCACAATCCGCATGGCGTACTTGGACCCGATTCGGAATACACCTCACACGCTTCGTGGCTCCATAGAGAGCTCCACCGAAGGCTCCAGCGGCAGTGTCCGCATGGCGTACCCGCACCCGTGTCGGCACACCCCTCACACGTTTCGTGGCCCCATAGGGAGCTCCACCGAAGGCCCCAGTGGCACAGTCCGCATGGCGTACCCGCGCCCGATTCGGCACACGCCTCACACGTTTCGTGGCCCCCTAGGGAGCTTCACCGAAGGCCCCAGTTGCACGGTCCGCATGGCGTACCCGCACTCGACTCTGCAAACACCTCACACGCTTCGTGGCCACATAGGAAGCTCCACCGAAGGCTCCAACAGCACAGTTCGCATGGCGTACCCGCACCCGGCACGGCACACCCCTCACACGTTTCGTGGCCCCATATAAAGCTCCACCGAAGGCTTCGGCGGCACAGTCCGCATGGCGTACCCGCACCCAAGTCGGCACACACCTGAAACGCTTCGTGGCCCCATAAGGAGCTCCGGCGAAGGCTCGAGTACCTCAGTCCGCATTGCATGGCGTACCCGCACCCGATTCGGCACACCCCTCAGACTCTTCGTGGCCTCAAAGGGAGCTCCGCCGAACTCCCTAGCGGCACAGTCCGCACGGCGCCTCCGCACCCGATCCTCGACACCTCTAACACGCTTCATGGCCCCACTATGCGCTCCACCGAAGGCCCCAGTGGCGCAGTCCGCATGGCGTACCCGCACCCGTGTCGGCACACCCCTCACACGTTTCGTGGCCCCATAAGGAGCTGCACCGAAGGCTCCAGCGGCACAATATGCGTGGCGTACCCGCACCCAGCACGGCACACCCCTCACACGTTTCGCGGCCCCATAGAGGGCTCCACCGAAGGCCCCGGCGGCACAGTCCGCATGGCGTACCCAAACTCGACCCTGCACACCCCTCGAACGTTCTGTGGTCCCATAGAAAGCTCCACCGAAGGCCCCAGCGGCACAATCCGCATGGCGTGCCCGCACCTGGCACAGCACACCCCTCACACGTTTCGTGGCCACATAGAGAGCTCCACCGAAGGCCCCAGTGGCACAGTCCGCATGGCGTACCCGCACCTCAGTCGGCACATGCCTGAAACGCTTCGTGGCCTTATAAGGAGCTCCGGCGAAGGCCCCAGCGGCGCAGTCCGCATGGCGTATCCGCACCCGATACGGCACACGCCTCACACGAATTGTCGCGCCATAGGGAGCTCCGCCGAAGTCCCCAGCGGCACAGTCCGCATGGCGTACCCGCACCCGATCCTCGACACCTCTAACACGTTTCGTGGCCCCACAATGCGCTCCACCGAAGGCCCAGCGGCGCAGTCCGCATGACGTTTCCGCACCCGGTTCGGCACACGCCTCACACGTTTCGTGGCCCCGTAGGGAGCTCCACCGAAGGCTCCAGCGGCACAGTCCAAATGGCGCACCTGCACTCGATTCGGCACAACCCTCGCACGATTTGTGGCGCCATAGAGAGCTCCACCGAAGGCCCCGGCGGCACAGTCCGCATGGCGCTTCCGCACTCGATTCGGCACACCCCTCACAGGATGTGTGGCCCCATAGTGAGCTCCACCGAACGCCCCAGTGGCGCAGTCCGCATGGCAGACACCTCACACGTTTCGTGGCCCCTTAGGGAGCTCCACCGAGGGGAGCAGGAGGTGGTGGTGGAGGAGTGGGAAAGAACAGGGACTGGATTGGAAGGCGGAGGGTTGCTGCTGGGAGTTCGCAGTCAGGTCCGGAGCAACAATGGGCAATTTTTGCGCGACGTCCGAGTCCGGGGCCGGAGAGTGATGGGGGCGACGAGAGGGTGACTGAGGCGACGAGGGCAAGAACGGGATCCAATTGCGCTCGATGTCCGAGTCCGGGGCTGGCGTCATCGTCGTCGTCGTCGTCGTCGCCGTCGTCGTCGTTGTCGTCGTCGTCGTCGTCGTCGTCGTCGTCGTCGTCGCCGTCGTCGTCGTCGTCGTCGTCGCCGTCGTCGTCGCGATCGCGACCGCTGTCGTAGTCATCGTCGTTGTCGCGGTGGCCGTCGTCGTTGTCGTCGCCGTCGTCGCCGTCGAAAGCAAATGGGGCAGTCAAAGAGGGAGCGGCGGGAAGAAATGGGCACGGACTGGCAGAGCCAGCGGCTCGTCCCACTTCAAGCCCAGAGCAACTTTGAGGGCTCCTCGTGGTCGTCGTTGTCGTCGTGTTGGCTCCCCTGGCACGTTTGGGTGCCGTGTTGGATTCTCGTTTGGAAGTGACAGCACCCCGCGTCCTCCTCATCGTCTCTCCCATCCCTCCTCCTTTTCCTCGTCTTCCGTAGCCATTTTGGCTCAAGCTTGACACGCAGGCGAGGGGGCGGCTCAAAGCCCCCGTGCTTCCAGCTGGCTGGTGCAGCCAACTTACCATTGTTTTCACGAGAGCGGTAACGGTCGCGCTGCGCGCTGCCGTTGCGAGCTTATTGCGTTCAGTGCGGCCATGCTGGTCCGTGTTCCCTGCTCCTGCTCGTACAGGCCAGCTCCCTGGCGCTATGGCGAACCAGAAGCAGCGCGAACGCAATGCTGCAGCTAAGGCCTGGGTCTGTCGCTTCTGCTGGAGTGACCGCACGGGCGAGCGCTGATGGAATGCTGACTCAGGTCTCTGCTTGCAAGCTCTGCAAGAGGCCGAAGGCGGCCCGCCGTCGGTCTCAGTCAAAGAGAAGGCCAAGTCCGAGGAGCTCAGGTCGGAGGTCCAGCGCCTCAAGGCTGAGCTGGCGGAGGCCAACAAGGCAGCAGCAGCAGCGGCCGCGAAGGCCCCTGCCGACGAGCCCAGCATGGGGGTCCAGGAGGGCGATGCGGATAAGGACGCAGCCCGGATCGTCGAGCTCCGCGACCAGATCGATGGCCTCGAGAAGTTGCCCGACAGCAGTGGGGCGGTTGCTGCCCTGCGCACGGCGGCCATCAAGGAGCTCAGCGAGTGCCGCGCTCGCCAGCTCAATGCGAAGCCTCTTCCCATCCAGATCCAGCGGGTCTCGCAGCAGATGGCGGTGGTGGAGAAGCGGACGGCGGCCAAGCAGACACGCCTGGACGGACTCGATCAGCTGCGAAGGGGCTGGCCGCCATCCAAGTGGAGTTGGTGGACTTGGAGGACCAGCGCACCAAGGTTGCGGCCAACTTTCCGCTGCCCTCCACCGTGGTCGAAGGCGCCCAGGCCTCACTCGACTCGGCGTTGCCGTCGGTGCGCATGTCGACGGCCCAGCTTGAGCAGGTGGCCACCAACTTCGGCGCTGATGCTGGCCTCGCGCGCGAGCTAGCTTCGGTCGTGCGGCGCGTCCGCGAGGCGGCCGTCAAGGCCCTGGCCGACGCCGAGGCCGAGGCCGCGCGGCGTCGTGCAGAGGCAGCTGCCCCTGCTGCCGCGCTGGCGCCTGCAGCGGGCGGTGGACAGCATGGTGGCCCTCCTCCTGATGCTGGCGTTGGTGACGATGAGGCGGCTGCGCCTGAGGCTAGCACGGTGTAGACCCCCACCAGCGTCGACGACCCCAGCGTTCTCAAAGCTTTCCTGGAGGCCATGGGCACGGGCGTTCCCGAGGACGAGGAGGAGCTGAGAACGGCGGCCAAGCGGCTGGGCGAGGGGCTCTCGTCCTTCGCGAAGCGGCCCAGGACCAGTGCTTAAATGGGTGCTGCTACTGGCATGCGGTACGACGGTTTCGGCGTCCAGTGGCAGTGGAGCCAGCAATGTGGGCGCTGGTGCGAGTGCGGCTTGTCTGCAAACTGCGCCGGAGTGGGCGTCGGTGGCGCGTTCGTTGGCCGCTTGCGTGTTTCGACTACTGGGTCATCCACCTCGGCCTCGGCCGCCTCGGCTACTGGCACCTCTGCGACGGCTGGGGCTTGTTTCTCGGCCAGCACAGGAGAGCCAGGAGACAGAGGAGGTACTGCACAGAGGAGCAAGGAGGCAGAGGAGGACATGCGCCACCCTGGGCGTTCGCGAAGACGAGCCGGCGAAGCGGAACTCCGTTCTGCCCCCGTGCCGGCGGCGGCATCTTCTTCGACGGCGAGGGCCGGCCTGGCGTGTCCAGCTTGCCCTGCGGCCGCCGATGATCAGGAGGCCAGCGAGCTCCTGGATCCGCCTGTCCTGGAAAGCGGTCAGCAGGCCAAGGGCCTCATTGCGGCCACCAACGTCTCGTCGTACGGGGCATTGGAGAACCTGCTGGCGCAGGAGGCCTTCGGCTCCAAGATCGCCCTGGCGCAGGAGCACTACGCCGGCCTGGACAAGGCCCCCGCTCTTCAGCAGCGGGCCCAGACACTCGGGTGCCACGGGGTCTGGAAGCCTGCCCCCCCGTCGCAGGCAGGCGGCGTCCGTGGGGGCTGTGCAGTGCTGGCTCAGGCCGGCATTCAGATGCCCCTGCCTCCTGGGCGGAAGTCGGGAGTCGTGGTGCCAGGCTATGCCGTGGCAGGGCATGCCCATTGGGGCGTCGCTGGCGGTATCATCTGCGCGTCAATTTACCTCCGCGATTCGGTCGGCCTAGATGCGGGCAACCTGGCCATCCTGCGTGAGGTGGGCTACCTCCTGCTTGATATGGCCACCCATGGCTACGCCTGGATCGTGGGCCGGGACTTCAACACGGGGCCGCTTTCTTTGACGCCGTGGCTCACCCCCCTGGGAGGCGTCCTGGTGGCGGGGCAGGCCACGACGCGCAGGGTCTGCCGTGTGCGTTTACTTCGGGATGGACGCAAGCCTGCTCTCTCGGACGGGGGGAGCGCTGGTGGGCGAGGCCGCCGAGACCTTTCCCCATCGCCCAGTGGCCCTGGAAGTCCTTGGCGCCGACCGCGCCCTGCGTTGCCGCGTGGCCTGGGAGCCTCGCGCCTTCGAGGCCAGAGCCCCGCCTGGCTGCAGCCGCTTCCCCTGCAACTGGAAGCCCGCCCAGGAGCTGATTGCGGAGGCGTCCACGGATGACGATCTCGCGCAGGCTTGGGATGACGTCATGCAGCCCATCGAGCGTGAACTGCGCGGGCGTTGCGATCTCGTCGGGCGCGGAACCCTGAGGCAGGTTGGCCGCGCCGGGCCGCTGCGCTAGCGGCGGGCGCAGCACGCCTGGAAACCGCCCAGGCGGAGGCCCCCGACTCGAGGAGCGGCAACTGACGCATGGGCTGTCGCTGCAGGCTGGGCGCGCCTTCTTCGTCGGGTTCACGCGTGCTCGAGTACCAGGATCCCCGAACTGAAGAAGCAGGCTGAGCAGAGCGCTGATGATGTGCTCAAGTTGGCCATCCTCCTCAATGACACGGAGGCCTTCTTCGACCGTCTCTTGAGAAAAGAGTGGGCGCTCAGGGCTGTGGACCCTGCCGTCCGCCAGTTCTTCGATCAGCGTATGCAGGCGTTGACGGACGCCCAGTTCGATGACATGGTGAACTTGGTCATCGAGCAGGCCAGCTGCAGAGTTAAGTCCTTAGCCAGTGAGCGCAATAGGAGTTGGACGGAGCGGGTGACTGCCAGCTTCGTGAATGGAGCCAGCAGGGGCCCATCGTTTTACGAAAACCAAGGCGCTGCAGGAAGCGGTCTCCGCCAGGTCCGGCGAGCAGCCCTGTCAGTCGGCGGGCGATTGCCTTGGTGACTGGGCCAAGGTGTGGAAGCCTCACGGTTGCGCACGCATGGCGTGCCCTCCAGGAGCTGGCCAGTGGCCTCTCCTTCTGGAGATCGGCGCTGCCGAGGTTCGGGCTGCCGTTCTGAGCTTTCCTGAGCGCACTGCGGTCGGGCCTTCGCGCCTAGCGCCCCGCGACCTCTTGAATATTAGCGATGCGGCTATGCAGACGTTCGCGGTGCTTTTTATGGGGTGCGAACTGTGCCGCGCGCGGCCGTCGGCGCGGATCTCGACGGAGCTTGCGCGGCTGCCCAAGCCAGACAAGCCAGGCGAGCGCTGTCTCATTGTACTGCTGCAGACGCTTATACGGGCGTGGGCGAGGGTCCGCAGGCCGGCGCCGGTCGAGCGGCAGGGGAGAGATTGCAATGAACTTCTCTAGGGCTCAGGCCCTGCGCGCAGCAGTGCGGACTGCGCCTTCTCCCACAATTTTGAGGTCGAGGTGGCTCGTTGCACCGGCCAGCGTTGTGTCCGTCCTGCTAGACATGGTCAAATGCTATGAGATGATCCCCCTTTCAGCTGCGATGGCCGAGGCAGCTGCTGTCGGGCGCCCACTGGGTTTAGCGTGGATGTTGGCGTGCATGTTTCAGCGGCCTCGGCGCTTCAAAGTCTTGGGTTCGGTTAGTGGGGCCTTTGTATCCTTCCAGGGATTTCTGGCTGGCTGCTGCCATGCGACCAACCTCATGCAATGTGATCCTCCTCCAGCCGCTCCAGCGAATCCAGCGGGAGCTTCAATGTGTGATCCCTCAAGGGTTGATGGGCGATGTCTCGTTCCAGTGGGTAGGCCGTCAGGCCAGGTACGCTGGGATAGTTGTTAAAGCGGTCTCGGCGTTTGTTCGGGACACGCGCGCCCTTGGGCTCTGATTGCAGGCCGCTAAATCTGGGTATCTAGCCTCGTCCCGCGAGGCTGCGCGCGGTCAGGGCGCGGGCGGCGATGCTCAAGCTTTCCGCGTTCGGTCTGCTCGGAACCTCGGACATTATTCGTTTGCGGGTGGCACCGCCCGCGGGCCCACAGAGTCCAGGAGCGAAAAAGTCAGGGGGCGGTTCTTGGGCGTCGTGGCAGGCTTCGTGCCCTGAAGCGGGCGGGGGGGGTGAGGGTTGGGACTCTGTAGCGCACAGGTGTTATGCCGTCTGGAAGCCATGGAGCTGGGGCCATGGGCCTCACCGACTCAACGCTTATGAAGCTCCGCTCGTTTGCTGGTGAGCTTGTAGGTGGTCGTAAGGGTCTAGCCTCCCTGACGGTCTACGAGTGCACGCAGAAGGATGGGATGTGCGACCCAACCTTTGATGCGACTTGCCCGCTGCTGGCCCGTTATGATACGTGGCTGTGGGACGGTAGGACCTCGGCTTCCCAGCTCCGCGTCGCGTGGCAGGCTATTCGTGACAAGATCGGCCAGCAAGGAACTTGGAGGATGCGTTTTGGGCCGATCTCGGCGGTGATCCTCACCATTCGTAGGCTCGGCTGGGACATGCTGGCGCCCCACGTGCTGGTGTCGGACCAGGGGGAAGCTGTGTCCGTGTGGGTTTTCGCTATCCGAAGTCCGAGCTCTGGTCCGAGACGGCGTCGAGAGCTGGCTGTGGCGTAGGGCCCCTTTGCATTGGCCTCGTGGTATTGTCCCTCCCTGCTGGTGCTCGCCACGGGTCTGCTAAACCCTCTTGTCAGGGGGCCTTTGGCCTCCCGAGGGGGAATTTCAGGCCGGCCTTTGGGCGTCAGGCACATGTAAGCTTTGTGGAGCTAAGCGGGGCACGCTAGGCCACCAGCTTAATGATTGCGCCGCTGCCTTTGCCTCGCAGGAGGATGAAAAAACAGGCTGAGTATCCGCCTCCTGACGCTGTGTGGCAGCAGAGGCAGGCCCTTCGGGAGCATGGAGTGTCCCCTCTGGGGGGTTCGGATTGGGATGTGGTTCCTCTCTTGTACGGCCTCCCTCAAATCTCCGTTAGGCTGCCGCCGCCGCTGTCCCATCCTCCCGCGCTGCATTGGGGTCTCACGGAAAGCACCTGGGGCCCGCTCCTTTTCACCGACTGCAACGGGTGGCGGGCGCGTGTCCCGAGGCGGCGAGGTGCGGTTGGAGCGTGGTTGAGATCACCGAGGATGGCTGGCCAGTCCGAGCGAAATTCGGCGGGGTGCCAGGACCTTTTCAAACAGTGCCTCGGGGCTAGCGGTGGGCTGGCCTTGAGGCGATGCGCGTGCGCCCTTTTAACCTCACGATAGTTAGTGATCACCGCAGCTTTGTTCGCGAGGGCCAGCGCTGGGACTCTCTCCTTGAGTGCGGTCTCGCGCGCCGTGCGTCGATCTGGCGAAAGATTTTTAGGCTGTCTGAGCGGTCGGGTTCACGGCCGTCGATGGTCTGGACTCCCGCGCATCGGTCGTTAGAGCAACTGGCCGACGAGGGAGCGTCGGCCGAGGAGATTCACCGTTTCATGGGAAATGCTTGGGCCGATTGTTTCGCAAAGTTCGGAGCTAGGGACGTCGCTGTCGCACAGGTCGCGGTCGATGCCCTCCGGCGTTCTGTCAAAGAGTGCAAGTGTACATTTGAGTTCCTGTCGAGGGCGATGCACTTGATTTGTGCTCGTCCTGAGGCTCAGGACTCGAACCCTCCTCCGCCCAAGCCAGTGCCAGAGAGGCGCGATGTGCTCGTCCATATCGCCCACGACCGCGTCCCCGTGGCTCCTGGTTCGTCCGCGTAGGCGTTGTTTG